TAAGACACTTAGAGTCAAAGTCTAAAAAATAAATAACAATTAATCAGTAAACAGCTACTTAAAAGGAGCAGGAATTTACAACGTATACTTCAGTTTTCCAAAAAGTAATTAGACTTTACCAACGTGTTATCTGAAACTGATGGCAATAACAGGCTAAAAAGGAATATTTCTGTAATGTTATTTTGCTTTCATGGCAAAATTGATGGTCAAACCTCAAAAATCTGCTGTATTTCAGTCTTAACACAAATTAAAAACCCGACATTTAAAAGGTAATTTAATTTTACATCTGACTGATTTTTAAATAATATGGCCTAATCAAGAAAACACTAATAATTAGGTCTATTCTTCTTCAATGAATAGCGCTATGTTTTGGTTGTCTGAGCAAGAAACAATACATGCAAACGTGGCGTACATGGGAGATTACATGATTGATAGTCGGATTGACAGGCCTGCGTGAAGTTACGCATGCTCTCTTTCTCTTTTCTAGCTTATTTGCATTTTTTCCGTGCGACATTTTTCAATGGGTGCGATTCCATAATGTACCAGCAGTCACTAAACTAATTTTTAATGAATCATAATTACCACATTACCTATGGAGGATACAAAAAATTTGCAGACAGACAAGAAAAAAAAGGATTACAAAATTAATACAAATAAGTCTTTACAATACCCGAGTTGTTATAATAATTCCAGTGTTATGGAATGTGCAAATGGAATACGCAGAAGAAAGCTCACAATTAAGGAACGTGATAATCTGATGCCATCAAGGGTATTATAGATAGCCTTGGTTGATGCTACATGTTCAATGACAGTTAGTCATCTCACGTATAAGTTTTCTCTTATCACTAATCCTGTTAAATGATTATCAGAGCAATTAAGCTTGACTCACTTGGTGGTAGATAATAATTGAGCTCTGAAGTTTAGATTTCATACATGTACATGTAGGCCTTAAAGCCAGAATCTCCAAAATATAGATGTAAGGTTTAGTTATTATTTAAGAAAGGTGCTATACAGGTAAATATTTGTACCTCATAACCGGCTTTTGCACTCAGATGTTCAGTAACAACAAGCAATGCATTTATGGTGGCCCCACCACTTCCTATACGAGCCTTAGGATCTTCCAAGGTTAGAAGCAGTACATCTTTATCAAGGAAACCTTTACTCTGGTGAATTTCAAGTTCTGGTGAGAGAAAAGTTTCTGCCTTTTACAAACATATCTTGCTCTTTTAGTCCCCAGGCCTTCTGATTAGGGCTTCAACTATACACCAATAAACTAACATTCAATTTCAACATGGTATAATCAATTCTGCTTTTAGAGAGAGGCCTGGAACAAAATCTGACACTATCAAACACCTGTATGATTCACTGTTTCTTAAAAACCCAGCTTAAATTTTAAGTTTCAAAAAATTTTTCATTATTAAGGGGTTTTAGGATCAAGTGGACGTGAGGATATTGTTTCCTCTCTACTGGCGAATCTAATGCAAAGCTGTTTTTTCTCAGTTTCAGTTCATTTGTTGTAGTAGTGTCCAGAGGTAAACTAAATTAAACTGTAACTTTACTTTTATATCTTAAGGGAGGGCCACAAGTTTACCAGTTCTTAACTTTAATGTGTCACCCTCGGCAAATTAAGTTATTCGTTCATTCATTTGCATTAAAACTCATAAATCCAGCTGGTTTTCAGCAGGACATGACTAATATCTACAGTACAATATCGAAAGACCTCAAAATTCACCAACAAACACGTATCAGATCGATGATATGCATTCAGAGATAAATTGGAACCACGAAAGCGTCAGACGTCAGATTTCAATTCCCCTCCTGAGCAAATTAATTGAATAATGACTATTAAAGACCATTAAAAATGGAGACGAACTGAAATAAGTGTTGTGAACTCTATCATGTCTTACTCTCCGACAAGTCACGCCAACGTTG